TGACGATGATGCTGCTGATGATGATGATGCTGATGCTGTTGTTGTTACTGTTGTTGATAGTGATGGTGATGCTGATGCTGATGGTGGTGATGAGAATGTTGATGCTGATGATGCTGATGCTGATGCGGATTCGGACGTCGCTGCTGCTGCTGTTTCTGCTGCTGCTGCTGCTGCTGCTGATGCTGATGATGATGATGACGACGATGACGATGACGATGACGATGACGATGACGATGCGGCGAGGCAGGATCAGGACAGCCTTCACACGTGTCATCTTCCGTCTTTCTTTCTTGAGGAGTTTCCCAGAAGCACATTTGGGCGGTTTTTGGGCCGTCTGGGGCTTTCGTGAGGCAGTTGTGGGGGACTTTCGGGCATTTTTGGGCCAGCCCTCTTGGGGCCCTCTTGTAATGGTTTGAGGCTCGCTGAGGCTGTCTTGGGGCCCTCTTGACTGTCTGAGTTGGGGGGTCTCCTGTGGTCGTCGATGGGCCGTATTTGGGCCGTCGATGGGCTCTCCAAGGCCGCCTTGCGCCGTCGAAGGGCTTTCGTGGTCTGCCTTGAGGCCGTGTTGAAGGTTTCTTGGGCAGGTTCGGGGGCAGTCCTGGGGCCATCGTAGTGGATACCTTTCGGTCCGTCTGGAGCACAAGGGAGCCCCGAACAGCTGAGGACGCCGAAGACTTTCGCATTCGCCTCTTCGGGCCTTACCAGGGGTTCTCTGGTGGCTCTCTTGGGACTTTTGGGGGGCGTCGTGGGCCGTTTTGAGGCCACTCTGGGCCGATTTGGAGCCACCTTGGGCCGTTTCGGAGGCGTCGTTAGCCATCTTGGCGGCCTTGGTTGCTTGTTTTGGCTGTCTTGTGAGCTCGGGGGGGAGGACGGAAGAGAAGGACAAATGCAAGCAGAAGCGAAGAGCTGCCCCCCCCCTGCAGGCCCGGGTGCAGTTGGCATAGAAAGGATGGGCGTTTTCCCCGTGGTTTCTAACGCCATGTTGGCATTAGCGTTTGGACAGCGCGGGAAGATTCTTTGGCTCACGCCGCACCGCCAACCCCTTGGGGGAGAGTCGCTGTTGCGGCTTCTGGGTGCTGCGTGACTTAAGCGGCTTCGGAGGCCCTTGAGATCGCTCCAAGACAGCCCACGAGGCCCCGAAGAGGGCCCAAGACGGCCTAGGAGGCTCCACAGACGACCCAAGTGTCTCCAAGAGCGCCCCAAGAGGGTGCCCAGAGGGGGACTGCGAACCGATTTCGAGGTCTCTGGCCCTAGAGGCCCCCAGTAGGCCGCAGGCTCCCACGAAGCCCCGTGAGGCCCCCAAGAGGCCTCGAGGAAGCTCCAAGAGGCCCTAAGGGGCCCCCAAGGAACGCAAAAGAGGCCCCCTAACACACCCCACCGCATCATGTTCCCAGGAAGCTTTCCGAGGACATGGTCCATCATTGGCCCGAGAGTCTCTGGAGGCTCCGAAGTACCATCGCGCTACCGGAGAGTTGATTGGGAAGTTGATTGGTAGCATGATTGATCGCCTTCTCCCGGCCCTCCGCGGATTGTTTCGCACAAATTTGCCCCAAGTGCCCTCTTGAACCGACGACGACGAACCGACGACGACGACGACGACGATGACGACGACGACGCGCTCTAAGAGGCGACAACGACATTACGACGACGACGACGACGACGACGACGACGACGACGACGACCGACGGCACGCCCCAACAGGCTCCCCAAGACGCCCCCGAATCTCATGTTCCCAGAAGGCCTTTTGGGAACCCGATTCATCAGGCCTCCGCCCCCCTACGCAGCCATCTTCCCCGAAAGCTTTCCATAATGCAGATTGAAATTCGTGGACTTCTCACTGCACATAATGCGTTCAGCGTTGTGGGCACTATATTTCCTGCTCAAACCATCTGTGGTCCACTACTTCAGTGGAGCAGTGAACTCGTCAAGGCCTGGGGCTTGCTAGGACCTGAGCGAGCGCGAAGCGCGCGATGGTTCTAGTGAGTACGTATATATATATAAAGAGAGAGAGAGAGAGAGAGAGAGAGAGAAAGAAAGAAAGAAAGAAAGAAAAAAATAGAGAAAGAGAGAAAGAGAGGGAGAGAGGGATAGAGAGAGAGATATAGAGAATGAGAGAGAAAGAGACCCCCTCCCCCCTGGGGCTCTGCCCACTCCGCCAGGGTCTTGCAGGATCCTGTAGGGCCAGGGGCACATTGACCCAGGCTTGGGTGCAGGATCCTGCAGGGTCCTGAAGGATTTTGCCAGATCTTGCGAGGTTGGACTGGCCCTGGCTTGGATTGACCCAGGTCAGCAGATCCCCGACCAGGGCGCCCCCGTGAAAGCCCAACAGTGCCCCAAGGCTGTCCGAATTGGCCACCGACGGCTCGGGAAGCCTCCAAGAGCATTCAATATCGCCGCAAGATGCCTCCAACAGCACCCCAAGAGCTCTGAGGAACCCCATCGAGAGGCCAAAATCATTGAACAAGTTTTGGGAAATCAGTGATATTCTTTTTCTCGCACTTCCGCCTCCGACACGCCTCCAAGGCTTGAGCATGGCCCCAAAGAGAGCCCCAGGAGGCCCCCAGGAGGCGTCCCGAGCGGCGCGAAGTGGCCCCAACACAAGAAGAGGCTCCCATGACGCCCGAAGGGGCCCCACCGAGGAGCTCCGTCTAGGCGCCAACGAGCACCCAGGAGCCGTCCTGGAGGCCCCCAGCGCCGAAGAGAAACCCGAGAGGCCCTCACGAGCTGCCAAGAGGCCCCCGCGGGATGCCCCCAAGAGGCTTCCCAAGCGGCTTATGGGGGCATGCGCAAGCATCGGAAGCGCGTCGGAGGCGGAAACGCAAGAACAGAACATATCGTTTTTGATTCTTAGTTTTACAATGTTGTTGGCCTCGAGAGCTTCCCTGGAGCTCGTGGGGGACTCTTGGAAGCCTCGTGGAGCGATCTTCGGTGCTCTTGGGTGCATCTACAGCCGACTTGAAAAACAGGTTTACTCAACTTGTTTTTTCAAGTTCGACCTCCCCTCTCGTTCCCAAGAGTCCGCTTCCGTTTCCACTATCCTCAGTTTTCCTCTCTTTGTTCTTGGTTGTCTTGCCATTCCGGTTTCACATCCGCCTCCTTCTTTCTCGTCTCTCCTTCGCGCTTCGCGCCATCCTTTCTCCGCCTCCCGCATTCGATTATATCTCCTCCAACTCTCATTTTCATCGCTCCTTCACCCCTTCCTCCCTCCGCCGCTCTCGCCCAGCTTCCTCCTCCACTATGTGGAAGGATACCCAACTTTATACAAAAGGGGAATCCCTCAGATCTCTGTTTTTCAAGATCGACTCCATTCGACATTTCGAGCCCACAGCAAAGCACATCGATGCACTGCAATCTAAAGTGACGCGAAGTAACGCAGGCACGCACGGCGACGGGGTGGCGACGGCGTCCACACAGCCGCCATACCGACGGGCAGCCCCAGTAAGGACCACTAAGTGCAAGCACTGGTTCGGAGATCCATCTGTACATGTGCATATGTGTTGTCTGGCGTGGACCCCAAACAGTGATTTCGTGCAGTCTAGAAGGTGCAAACAACTTGTTGCAATCGATGTGGTGCACATCTGTGCAAACCAACACCATGCAATGCAGCAAAGCAACGCAACGCAGTGGGAAGCAGTGCAATGCAATGCTAAGCAATGCACCGCACAAAGCCAGGTAAAGCAAGGCAAAGCAACGCAATTCTATACACAGCAGCAATGCAACTCAATGTAACGCAGTACAACGTAACGCAAAGCAGCGCAAAGGAACGCGGGCCCAAACGGAAACGGGGCTGCGACGGCGACCACCGCCGCCATACCAATGGGCAGCCCCAGTTCTTCCGAACATCAGTATGAACCCTTACGTTTAATAGCATGAGGTGCAAGCTATGTGGTGTAAGTTGTGTGTATGTATGTGGTAAAGGCTATGTCGTGTAAACTCACGAGGCGCCAACGAGGCGTCATGGGCGGTAAAGTGGCGGAAATTCGGCACACACACACACACACACCATGCGCGGCGCGCCCACGAGGCGCCCACAAGGCGACACGGGCCCGCAACGAGGCAAAACACAGGCACACCAATCCAGCTCCGTATAGTTATGATCACCAAGGTGCCAGCGTTGATTTGGGGATCTTGTATATCAACACCGTTCCCAAACAGTGCTTACGCACAGGGGGTTCTTCCTTCCCTAAGAAACTGGCTGTGTCCGGCGACCGTGACCGCCTCGTGGCCGCCCGTGACCGCCTCGTGGCCGCCTCGTGTGCTGGGTGCGTCCCGCGAGGTGTCGCCACGTTGCCACCCGTGGCCGCCTCGTGGCCGTCTCGTGCTGTGTGGGTCCGGCGGGGTTTCGCCACGTTGCCGTCCGTGGCCGCCTCGTGGCCGCTTCAGTTTGTTCGAAGAGATCGGACCACATACGTTGCACCACACATCGCATCTTTTACGCCACATGCCTTGCGCCACATCGCATAGTTTGCGCCACACAGCTGGCACATCCACAGAGAAATTATATACTGCTTGGGGGGGGCGCTGGCAAACACACGTACACACATATGTATATAGATATATACATATACACATGTACGCGTACATGTATCTTCGTACGTGTGTACTGAGGGAGAGAAGAGAGAGAGAGAGAGAGAGCGTGACAGACAGAGACAGACAGACAGACAGAGAGACTGACTGACAGACGGACAAAGAGACAGAGAGGCAGACAGACAGAGGAAGAGAGAGATAGAGAGGCAAAGCGAGTGAGCGAGCGAGCGAGCAAGAGAGTGAGAGGAGGGAGGGTCAATGAGTCGAGCATGGGCAGTGGCAGACAGCACATGGGAGCACATTCCGAGCCACGATGACGGAGTGCAAATGAAGAAGGAGGAGCAGGAAGAAAAGGGGGGGGAAGAAGAAGGAGGAGGAGGAGGAGGAGGAGGAGGAAGGGGGTGGCGGCAGTGGAGGAGGAGGGGGGTCCTCCTCTTGCCTGTCCCGTCCCAGCCTCGCTTGCGGGGGGGCAGGCCACCAGTGGCGCGGCGCCCTGGCGCTTCTGCACGAGATGTCCGACCGCGGCCTGGAGCCCGACGTGGTGGCCTGCAACGCGGCCATCAGCGCCTGCGGCAGAGCCCAGGCGCCCCTCGACGGCGGCGACCACGGCGACGGGCGACGGCGGCGACTACAAGGGCGGCGGGGGCGACGGCGTTGGCGGCGACGGAAGCTACGGCGACGACGTCGGCGACGGCGACAACGCGGACGGCGGCGGCGTTTGGGGCGGCCACTGTGATGCCGGGGGCGACGACGAGCTATTCGTATTGGAGCCACCAGGGTTGGCGACCTGGTAATTTGGACTAAAAAGCGTATTCGGGTGCTATGTTTCAAGATCCAGGGCCGTCTCCACTATGCGTCTCGCCGCTAGCTTCCCTCGGGGCGCTCCTGCTCCTCCACCTCGTACTAACATCATGTCGCTTGCTGTTCCTCGAATCGACCCAGTGTCGTCATATTTTCCGTGCCCCTCTTTTTCTTCGTCCCGAAGCCGATCAGGACGAACAGGGATCGTGGTCGTGGGAGGTGGAGGGTGAGTGCAAGCACATCAGTATGCATCGCTTCCCTTTTACATTGTCCCTGCACTTTGCGGCGATGACCAGTGGCGAGTTGCGACTCGAAAATTTGGCAACAAGGTTGCCACCAGGGAACTGGAACTTCAACTCCTCAGTATCATCCAGGTAGTTCTCCTCGATCTCAACGTCATTCTCGTCTTTACCCCCAATGTTCCTCAACGTCCTCGTCGCCCACCTCATCATCGTGTTCGTGCTAATCCTACTTCTCGTCAATATTTCCGTCCCCCATATTACTCCGCATCCTCATCCTCGTGGTCTTCCTTATCCTTCTTTTCTCCCTCCCGCTAGCACTCCTCCTTGTCCTCCAGCCCCTCCTTCTCTCCCTCGTTCCCGTCCTCTCCTTCTTTTCCCTGTCATCAACAACTTCTCCGCTTTGCAGGTGTGGTTGGTTCGCACAACATGACCAAGGGGACCATCATGCTCGATCCGGAAAATGTTATGCTAGTATTTCGGTGTTCATGCTCTGCGAGGCCAGCCTGCAGCATGATGGTATTGCTGTGTCCATCCTTGACATGGAAGTCAATATGTTTCTCGTGCCTTGCCACCTTCGCGAACGACAATGGCTACGTCGGAGGATGACGCCCGGAGGTTAGTCGCTTGGTCGCCCCGAAGGGGGCAAAATGGCCAAGGCGTTTTTCAGACCGTTGCGATGGGCAGCTCGCAACCGCTTGCATCTCTCAACTCACGATCAATGAGTTTACGCGGCTAAAAAACTCTCGTGGAGAAACTTACACATCAGTTTCCAAACAATTCTCACTGAGACGGTGTGGCGGTAATCGGGCCACCGCGAGAGACAGTTTATCCGGACCACGCGGAGGAACGTGGCCGTGACAATCGGCCGTGCCACACCGCCTTTCCCGAATGTTTAGGATACTGGTGATGCATCGCTGCTTCCGTGACAGTACTTGTGGCCCAACCGCTGTGAGCAGATGTCACGGGGACGGTGCGGTGTCCCAGGGGGGATGGGTTTTCCCGCGAATGGAGACGCAGCATGTTCTGTTCATGCTAGTTCTCCCGGCGTGCGCCATTCAAGCGCGCACCTTGTACCACAGCCCCCAGCAGAAAACCATACAATTTCGTGTTGGCCTTCAACCCGCCACCCCAGTAAGTATGCGTTTCGATGCTCCTCACCGTTTCGGGTAAAATGTGGTCACGGTGGCGGCATAGCACGTGCTCAGCGTGTCTTGGCCTGGGTGCCCATGTGGGGCGGAGTGGGAAGTGGCCCTTCACGCCCGAATGCGGTGCCGCACCGACTTAATGTCATAAGTAAGGACCGTCTGGTCCATCTAATATGTCATCAGAAGAGTTGCACCGAGTCCAGTGCGGGTCAGGATATGGCAGCGCACCGACTCCATGACAGTTGCATTGGGCCTTGCACCCGTTCGCCAGCCCCGAATGCCAGAGCGTTGACCCCGCGCGCGTGGGTGGCAAGCGTGCTATGCTTTGGCACCCCATGCGGATGCACATCATGCTGGGATGCCCACCCCGCATGATGAATCCCGCACGCCGGCGTTTGGACCACCGTTGCGTCTGCAACACCAACGCTGGGGCTGTACCCCCTTCTGCGTTTGCCCATCCTGCTGGGGCCACTGCACTCTATGCGCGCGAGGTGACCCTTGGACTCGGCGGCAAGGAGACGTGCGAACCCCTGCCGGGATCCGATGGATCCCCTGTGGGGAACCCCTGAACAGTGCGCGTCCAACCATTATGATTCAGATCGTGGACAATTGCTGAGGCATGTTTTTTGGCCCTCTCTTGGATGCAACCTAGTAGGGACCACGATGTGCAGGATCATCGGTGGGCATAGGTTGAGGAGGGGGTGGCGGCCAGCGAATGCTATCGAACCTCTTTGTCGTCCTCCTCTACCCCTCTTCGTCGTTCTCGATCCCTCTTCCTCGTAAATACCTTCCCGTCTCGTATCATCAAACGTGTCCGTAGGCCGCGCCGGGTTTCTCGCTTGAGACTTGCATTTTCTAAGTTTGAATCGAACAAGCGTTAGCAGCTACAAGGATGGAGGGCTGGTCGTTGGTCGTTGCTAACATGAATGCGTTCCTCGCCTTAGCGCCGCGCTCATTTGTTCGAGAAGTTCCATTGTATACCAGGACGGAGGGTCGGTCGGTTTCAAAATGCGGCTCTCGCCTGAGCGTTGTGTACAGTTTGCTCGAACATTCCTAATTCTTACGAGAATGGAGGGCTGGCAGTTTTCAAAATGCGACTCTCGCCTCCACGCCACGCACAATCTGGCTCGGCTTCAAACTTTGATTATCGTTTGAGACTTCCTCAAAAGGTACGACCCGACGTCGGATTGTGTGCAGCTGTTCCGCGGATGGAGGCGGCGACTCCTTTTCAGAATCAGGCTCTTGTTATACAGTGAAGGTCCATGCCAAGAAACACCCTGCTTACCTCCAGGGTACCCTGGGTTTCTCGGGTTTCGATGGTTCTGCCATAGGAAGCGCGACGTTCCCACACCAACAATCCATGGACGTCCTGGTGTCTCAGGTTTGGGTTTCTTGCGGAAGGTGTTTCGCGGACTGGCCTCCACTGCACACATCTTTGAATTATATCACCAGCCTCTTCGCGATTCTTCGAGCCAGAAGGGTGGACAACCAACCCTGCACACAGAACGGGGTCGCGGCTGAGGGGCAGGCGCGCTCGTCATCCGAGGGGGCGCGCTTCCCACAGCGGTACGTGATACTTGGAAGGATGAGGGCGGAGGGGATTTGGGACGGCAGGGTACACTGCAGCATCGCTGCTGCAATGGATGTTGGATTTCTTGTGGTCGTCATCCTCCTCTTACCTCTTCCTTGCTTCTCCGCAGCCTCAGGTCCTGCCTGTCGAAATGGCCTCGCGGGAGAATCGTCCCCCCCGTCCCCCCTTTCCGCGTCCCCGGAGGCTGGAGGCGACTAAAACATGCCAGGGACGCCCAACACCTCGAACTTCGGACGGTCCGCCGGAGGCTGGTGGAGGCCTCCAAAGGCTAAATTTTGGACGCCTCGCGTGTCTTCACCATGGAATGCGTTTGGCGATCCGGAGCCTACTCCGTTGAGCGCCTGCATGTCGCTGTTCGTCGTCCTCTTCGGCTGCGTCACGGCCGTCTTCGAGTACGTGGACTCCATGATTTCCGCCATTCTGGTGCTGCACTTCGACCAGTGGTTCTTCGTGGTCCACCGCGTCCCCTGAGCCGCAGCGTAGCTCGCTCCTGCGCGCTCTCGAACAAAACGTCCCCACCAGCCCATCCAGAAACGATCAGCAGGGGAGTTGGTAAGTCAGGGGCGGCTGGAAGCATGCAGTCGCGCGGCCGTGTTCAGAACCAAAAAACATGATCACACATAGCTTTGCGCAGTGAAGCTGAATATGGAAATTTCATGCTAGATACGACGTGGTGCCCCCCGTGGTAAACGTCTCTAGCGCAGGTGGATGCGTCCACCCTGGGCCATGGACATCAAGGATCACACATAGATTGTCGCAACGAAGTTTAAGATGGACACCGGTGCAAGATAGGCCGGAGTGTTCCCTGTGAGTAGCGTCTCTGGCGCAGCGGACTCCGTCGTAGAATCGGATTTTCTATTATTGGATCCTCTTGGGCTCTCGTGGGGGTCTCTTGCGACTTTCTTGGGGCTCTTTTGGGGAGTCTTGTGGCCCTCTTTGGGCTCTTCCGGGGGGTCTGGGAGGCTCCTTGAGGCCGTCTTGGGCCCTTTCGCTCAACAAGAGGGGGGTCGTAAAAATAGCCCCCCCCCCCTCAGAGGCTCAGAAGGGGCGTCTTGGGGCCCGCCTGGGCCGCGCCTGCGGCGCTCTTGGGGCCGTCTTGGGGCCGTCTTGGGGCCCTCTTGGGCTCCTATGTGGGGCCATCTTGAGGCCATCTTGACGCCCCAAGGGCCCAGCGGAAGCGAAAAAACGAAAAGGCGAGCAACATTGATTTTCTTAAGGTTTTGAGCTCAGCTTGGCCTCTTGGGGGGCTCCGTGGGGGGTTCGGAGGGCACTTGAAACCGTTTTGGGGCCGTCTCGAGGCCTCTTGGATACGTGCTGGAGGCTATGCTGAGCCGTCTTGAGGTATCTTGGGCGATTTGGGGAGGCCACCTTGGGCGAGCTAAAGCCCCCTCGAAGCTATATTGGGCCATGGTGGACGCTCAAAACCCTTTTCGGGGGAGCCCGTCCAGACCCAAGGGGGGGGGGAGGCAAACCTCCCGAGCAGGGCAAGGAAAGGGTTACACAAGACAGCGCTCTAGACCACCTACGCCCAGGGGGCTGGTGGGACTGGATTCCAACACGTTCGCCCACCTCAATCCTCAAACTTATCTCTTCGAACCTCGTTTATCGAATCCCCTCTACCTCTCCTCCTCCTCGTCCTACTCATCCTCTTCGAACCTCCTCCTGTTCCTCCTCCGCCACATCCTATTTATCCTCCTCCTACTTTCGGGCCACCCCCCTCACCTCCACGAGCCTCATCCTCCACATCCTTCTACTCTACCAACCTGCTCTCCCTCGCACCCCCTCTTGCTCGCCGAAATTGCTC